AGCGGCTGGGAGGGACGCCTGCGGCGGGAGCCGGCGTCCGGGCTCGGGCAGCCTTAACTGCTTCGGGGCCAGCTGCAGCACCACAGGGCAGAGGGGCACTGGCCTCCCACCAGCCCTCGCCTGAGCATCCCACCCCACTTGGGCAGATGCTGAAGCCGTGAGGACACCTCTGACCGTCCCTCCCTCCCACCTTTCCCCCAGCACCCTGGGGTGTTCAGAGACGGTTGCTCCCCCCCAGCCACAGGGTGCGGAGACCAGAAGCCCTCGGCACTGCGGGCCACACAGCCCTGCCTGGGACGTACCAGGTGGTCCCCGTCCCCAGCACAGCCAGGGCCCCTCTCTGTCCCTTCTACCCCGGGGACGAGATGCCGCTTCCCATCCTCTCCTCGCTTATCTGCAGCCCTCAGACTGCGGCTGCATGGCCCACGCGGGCAGGAGCAGCGGCCCAGGAGCGGCCGCCCAGGGAAGCGGGGCAGGCGCGGGCTGCGGGCAGACCTGTACATTTATTTACAAGAAGGCAAGAGCTAGGCAGGACTCCGGCATTGGGCAGGGCCCCGCAAGCCATGTCCCGTGCCCGGCAGGGACGAGCCCGAAGCCCCTTCACCTGCTACAGCTGGTGCGGCTGGGGGGCCAGTGCCTCCCCCCGTCTCTCCCCAGGGTTTTTCCAGCAGGCGCAGAGGGCACAGGTGGCCCCGGAGCAAACACACAGCCCTGGCTTCGGGGGGGCTCAGCCACAGCGAAAGCCAAAGGGGAGGGCAGAGGGAGCCTGGGACCCCCCCCACCAGCCCTCCATCCACTCCCACAGCAGACAAGGCTGGAAGCCGCGAAGCCCAGGGATGCCCATCCTTCGGCAGCACCAGGGATCCCCGAGGGGCACAGGCAGAGGGGAAGGGGGTCAGGGCAAGGCAGAGGAGTGGGGGCAGCACCCGCCTCCCACAGCCCAGCAGGTCCTGGGGAGCCCCCGCACATGGTGGGGTGAGCTGGCGGCCGCAGCCGTCCTGTCCTGTGTGTTGGTGGTCTGGAGCGATGCTCGCGGGAGCGGGGGAGCGCGGTCCAGCTGCTCTACATTAGGACGCCTCGCTCATCTTGATCTGGCGGGGACGGGTGAAGCAGAGGTTGTGTTTTTCCCCCGCTGGCAGAGCTGAAGGGCAGGGAGGGCAGGAGGAACACAAAGCCTCCTTCTTCCCTCGCTGGCTCCCAGCTGGGGATGCTGCTGGAATGGAGCGATGCTCGCGGGAGCGGGGGAGCGCGGTCCAGCTGCTCTACATTAGGACGCCTCGCTCATCTTGATCTGGCGGGGACGGGTGAAGCAGAGGTTGTGTTTTTCCCCCGCTGGCAGAGCTGAAGGGCAGGGAGGGCAGGAGGAACACAAAGCCTCCTTCTTCCCTCGCTGGCTCCCAGCTGGGGATGCTGCTGGAAGCATACTCGCCGCTTCCTCCCTTCCTGTGCGAGCAGCAGCTTGAGGCCAGCTCCACTCCTGCACGCCCGGCCAGCCAGGGAGGAAGCGCTTCGGCCTCGGCTCCAGTGCCAAAGCGCCAGGGTTGGGGGTCCACGCCTGCCTTCCAGCATCCCCAGGCCGAGCCACAGTGCTGGGAAGGGAGGTTGGGCAGCTCAGGGTCCAGCGACAGCGAAGGCAGGGCAGAGCTACAGCATTTACAAGGCAGAGCACGCAAGTCTTGGGTCCAAGGTAGCGGCAAGCGCGCAGGGCGGCCCAGGCAGCGGGGCTCATGCCGGGCCAGCCTTTCTCCTCCAAGGCCACGGGAAGTAAGCACGAGCAGAACAGAGATGCTGTGGGTCGAGCATCGCGCAGCTGGGCCAGGGATGAGATCGGAAACCACCGCTCAGGAGGAGCCTCGCAGTCCGAGGAAATCCAGATGGGAGAATTGGCTCAATGGGAATGGGGAGGGCTGGAGCCCCGGGAGCCCAGGAGGGCGCTGCCGGCATCCCCAGCAGCAGGTCCCCGGTGCAGCAATGCCACCCGGGGTGGGACGAGCTCAGCAGAGGGGCTCCGCAGCGGCGGGTGCAGGCAAGGATCCTGGTGGGGTCCTGGCCCCTGTGCAGTCCCTGCAGCTGCTGGGTGCCAAGGCAGGGCGCAGCCCCAGGGGATGCAGCAGAGCAGCACCCGTGGTGGCGGTGGCGTGGGGCACAGAGCAGGGGTGCAGCGCACACCGCAGTGGCACAGGGTCCAGAGCAGCCATCTGGCAGCAGCATGGGCAGGGAGGGGGCTGCGTGGCTCCAGCCCCTGGACCCCATGGTGGGAGGTGGGCAGGGGCCCACCCCAGCGAGGTCCTGCTGCCTTCCAGAAGCAAGACTGACATGGGACCCTCTCAAGCGGTTTCTCTCTGGCCTTGACTGACACGTGGCTCAGGCTCCCCTCGGGAGCCCCCGCTCAGACGTCCAGTGCCGTCAGTGACCCTGAGCTGGTGATCTTCTTGAAGCGGTTGGCGGCACACACCCCGATGAAGTTTTTCTGTAAAGGGGAAGAGGAGAGATGCTCATCCTACCGGGAGGGCTGTGACTCCGGAGGCTGAGCCAGACCCCGCTCCCGGGGCTGGTGAGGAGCCGGGCTGGGGAGCAGGCAGCCGCCCGGGCAGGGGGCCAGGCTGCACGGGAGGGGAGCACAGGGCAGGGGGAGGTGCAGGGCTGATGCTGGGGATCATCCCCTACACTGTCCTGACACCACTCCTGCCCCTAAAAGGTGCTCTTGGGATTGGCTCAGGGGAGGCCACCACACAGGGACCTATGCTTGACGGGGGTCCCACCTCGGGGGCACCCATGCAAGAACCCTGGTCCTGGGGAGCCCTTCCTCCAGGCTCAGGGGTCCCCAGCTCTTGTGTCCCAGTTGCCAGCAGCACAGTGAGACAGAGCCATCCTCCACGTCCCAGATGCCATCTGCCAGGATGGGCAGCGGCTGCCAGCCCCCCCGCCAGCTCCCCCAGACGGCATTGACCCTCCTCCCTGAGCCAGCCCCGCACCCCACGCACCTTCCAGCGCCGCCGCATGACGTATTTCTTTAGCAGCACCTGGGACTTGAGCCGGCGGTTGCAGCGCTTGGCCTTTTCTGCCAGGTTGTTGAGCCAGGGATGCTGCAGGCACTGGCCGGCGCTCATCCGGGCGCTGGGGGTGAGAGGAGCCCAGGTCACCCCTGCTCGAGCCCCTCTGCCCCAGCCACCCCCTTCTCCAGCCGCCCAAGAGCCCCAAAACCCCAGAAACCTGCAGGGGAGGAACCAGCCAGAGGGATGTGCCCAGGGACCAGTGGGGCTGGGCAGGACCCCAAGTAGCATGTCCTGCTTGGGGCAGGAGACCCTGGAGGGACACGGGGCTCTGCTGGGGACAGCCAGCAGCCAGGGCAGGGCCCTGTGAGGCTCATTTGGCACAGGACATCAGGGGATGCTGCTGGTCCCGGTGTAGAGGGCAGTGCGTGGTACCCAGGGGCTGGGCATGCAGCTCTGGGACGTCCACCCCCAGGACACCCAC